TATATATATATATACTTTTTTTTTATTTTTTTTTTTTTAAGTGTGTTCATGTCGCCTCTACAAAGTCATTAAAAGCCTGTAAACAACAAAAAAAATGAAACATCTCTGATTTGTTATAGATCTGATCTGTTATGTTTAAATCTGTTCAAATTTGGCAACAGACTCGTTGAGGCAGTAAGAAATGTGTTTCTTTTTTCCAAACATTTTTGGAGCAATAATACTGAACGATTCGTTAATGGGACCGTTAAGGAATCATTTAAAGATACCAGATTACGATTCCCATCTCTAATCATAAATCGTAACCGTATAATGATCACTCCTTTTTAAACTCGGATAAATAGTTCGTCTACCTTCAAGTCGTCGAGGTCTTTTCTGGTTCACCGCACAGCGTCGGCTCGCGGCCTCCGGCGACAGTGACGCGCACCGCTGGCCAGATGTTCGCCTGTTTACTTTAAATATAGCTCGTGCGAAGGCACCCCGAGTCTCTGAGCCAATCACGTAGCGCCGGGGGCGGGGTTGACTGGAATGTTGTGGATGCGAGAAAATGAACAATGTAGCCTTATAAACTGATGCTGTAACGGATGCTATGCATATGCATCAACTGTATATTCACGTGTAGAAGTAGGGACAGAGGGATAAGCATCTGAATGCTGTGATTTGGGTGCGATTGAACGGGATTTGCGGAGTGCACCATTGAGCGTCTGCAGAAGTTCAGGGTGAGGTACTGTCATACAGAATATAACGGTGCTACATTGTGCCCTCTGCGTCGCATTGTTTGCATAGCTCGTGTTTTGAAACACCTTTTTGTTTTTTGTGATAATCAATATCACGCTAATTCCGGGGAAGTTCAATTTTAGCGGCCGCGCGCAATCCACCCCAAGGGCACTGCGACCATTGTTTCCTTGTCATATTTCATACACAAGGCAGCGACAGCTCCCATCCACCAGCTCGCTAAAATATTAGCGTGGCTGCTGGCGTTTGAGTGTGCTTAATGACTACATATACAGGCGGCAGTCTCATCTCTTCATTCATCCACATGATCTGACGCGCAATTAAGGTAAGAAACCCACATTATTATAGCGGAGCCACGCCTCTTACGACGAGCTATTACTGTCGGGAAGCCGATAACTCAAACAACCAACCTCAGGATAGTTGTAGCCCGCAATGGAATATTAATATTTGCCCAAATCTGCTTCTGTATCATTAAAGAGTGGGAAGAGAGGCAGGGCACGCGGGAGGAGGTGTGAGATTACGCGCGTATGCTTGCGCGAGTCACTCTGTAACTCAATCAGGTTGTAGAGCTGGTAAAGCGAGAAGACACGCGCTCCAGAGGAGAGGAGGAGGAGGTGGAGAGAGAGCGAGAGAGACGGAGGTTTGAAGACAGCCGAGGTGTCTACGGCGCGGGTGGACTATGTGGCATGAGTGTCATTGCATCACGTAATATTGTGCTAGTGAAAACAAGCAGGGCCGTTTGACAGAGAGAGAAGAGAAGGGAGCGTTCAGTATCGGCAGGGGATGATGAGGAGGAGGAGGATGCAGCCATAACGAGGGACCAACGAGATAAGAACAGGTAACGCACTTAATCCGACCTATACTCATGATATATCGGTAAACAAGCCAGAACAGTAGAATAAACGTGCAAATGTAGAAATGGCAAATATTAGTTCAATTTGAAGTGCGGAGACATGATGGATATCCGGTTATTTTCAACTTTAAATAATCGAATTTAAAGAAATATTATTTAAATATACAAATCAATCGTAAATGCATAAATATAAAAACAAAATAATTAGTATAAACGTAAAATATATAAAAAAACAAGTAGTAGCCTATTTTAAAACATTAAAATATACTAAGTACCATTAAATCAAAAATAATATATGAATGTAAATTGTTAATGTAAACAAAATAAGTATATTACTTAATATAGACTTAAATATGAAAAAACTATTTGAATATTTTTAAATATTAAATGAAATCATGGGATACTCATACATTTTTGACAGTGTGTTTATTTTTGAAGTGTATTTCAGTAAAATATAGATGCACATTTTTTTCTTTATGTAAGAATGGATCATCGGCAGTTGTAGTCTGCATACCCAAGACAGTAGATCAGAGCTTGTGATTGCAAATTAGACATGTTAGGCATCTCGGCTATCACAGGTGTATCCAGATCGTCACAGCATTTTAATGTTGAGCGCAGTAATTGTCTTTTTAATTAGATCCCAAGATACCAAGAAGTGGTTAAGATTCAACAGAACTATCAAATCTGTGTCAGAGCAGTAATAGGTTTTTACAAGATGAGTTATCTGAAAGGCTTGCAGAGGCTTTAGAAGAAAACTAACACATACCACAGGCCTTGGGATCTGAATAGTTTTTTTTTTTTTTCATTTGATTTTTGTGCCATTATGCGAGCGCCATGTGACATGAATGAAGCGTCCACCCCTGCAGTGGAGTTGAAAGAGCAGGGAAACCGGGAGGGGACGGAAAAATGAAAGGAATCTCGGCCCTATTGACAGCCTCTCATAACTCATTCCATGGCGTCATATTACAAAATGTATATGACTTCATTTGGGCCAGAGGAAGGTAAAAGAGAGGAGGGGCTTGGGAATGAATAGCCAGGCATTGTGGCAAGGAAAGCTGTCATTTAAAGCCGTTGAGATTTTCAGCTGCTACGATCATGCAGTTATGACTACTGCTGATAACCGCCAATTGTCCCGGCCCATCCTGTTTGTTAGGATAATTAGCCCTTGTGGCATGTGTGCGAGGAGCATATTGTTTAGACATAATTAATCAAGCCTGCTGGTAATTATTGTTGTCCATAAATTAAAACATGAGGGTAGCAGCGGGTGTTCAAGAAGATGTAGCCATCTTAATAACCATATTGCACCTTTTTGCACCAGAGAGCACGAGACGGTTATTAAACGAAAACAACTTCTTTGCCCTCAATTTTTCATCTTCATCTTCCCATCCTTCTTTTCCTTCCTGGCTTTTCTTGAGGATTACTGCAGAACATCATGTCAGATTTTTTGTAAACATCCCCTACTCTGAAAATTCACTGACTTTAGTCATTTGGGTCTGTGTTTTCGCAAAAGCACATCTGAGCCGAAGCCAGACTGATGTCCCAGCAGGCTCGACCACAAGCTCAGCATGGGTCAGTCTCAGCACCGCAAACATGCAGCAGAACTAGGCTGGGCCATTGGCTTCGGCTCTGCCGTAGCTCTCCCTTGACCTGTAATGACAGAGTTTCGTGTTTAATTTTAACTCCGTCTCACCCACCTAACCAGACTATTTGTATTTCTCCAACATCAGCTGCCGCTAACATTTTTTTACACGTTGCAGTTCAGGGCAGCTGAAGCTAAGCTGAGGAGGAAATCACAGAATCTGCTGTAAGAAGAACATGCTTTGTGTTTGAATATTAGCCGCTAGCTAATACTAGTCACATTGGCCTAGTGCTGGAATACGCAAATCCCATATGAGCTGGGTTTGGAAACTTGTGGTTAGGGATGTGGATGTGTTAAACAAATTATTTGAACAACATCACGCAAGGGAAACTTATTAACTAGAGTGTTAATGAGAAAAAAAAATAACACCATGTTGCCTCAGGAAGCTGTTCAAGTAAAGTGGTGTACTGTAACTTGCTTTGGTCTAAAAAAGCTAAATAAGAATAAATAATAGTCATAGTAAATATACCACTATATATACTACCTTTCAAAATTTTGGGGTTTGTAAGATTGTTTTTTTTTTTTACGTTTTTCAAAAAGGTCTCTTAAGCTCGCCTGTATTTATTTAATCAGAAATATAGTAAAACATTAAAATTGTTTAAAATATTTTCAATATTAATTAAATATTATAATTATAATTAAATATTATAATTTTTTTAAATTTCTAATATATCTTAAAATGTAATTAATTCCTGTGATGGCAAAGCTACATTTTCAGCAGCCATTACTCCAGTCTTCGGTGTCACATGATCTTTCAGAAATCACTCTAATATGCTGATTTGCTGCTCAACAAACATTTCTTATGATTATTAATGTTAAAAATGGTTGCAATGCTTATTACTTTTGTGGAACCGGTGATATATTTTTGATAAGTACAAAATTTGATGCATAGTTCAAAGGAACCGCATTTATTTTAAATACTTTTTTTTTATTATAAGAAAGCATTTCTGTCACTTTTGATCAATTAAATCCATCCTTGCTGAATAAAAATATGAATTTCTCCCAACTATATTTGTAATCAAACTATTGTTCATCAAAATATTTAAAAATAATATTTTATTCACAATATATTACAGTACACACTATATATACAGTGGGTACGGAAAGTATTCAGACCCCCTTAAATTTTTCACTCTTTGTTATATTGCAGCCATTTGCTAAAATCATTTAAGTTAATTTTTTTTCCTCATTAATGTACACACAGCACCCCATATTGACAGAA